GGCCTATGACTTACCAGAAGAGCACTATATATTTAGCTTGTTTATTTTGATTACTGAAGAGCTTCTCTACTAGAATACTTTTTGTTTACTCTTCTATCCTAGCACCTTGAACAGTGGCTGACACAAACTAGGCTCTGAAATATACTAGCTGAATGAACAAAGGTAAAAAGAAAAGTAAATAGAAAGTAAGTGAGATAAGTACTTCATAAATGTTAATGCATAATACATGTTAATTATTTAAATTCATATATGTTTATACATATGTATGTGCATATAATTATTTGTTGGAAGTGATTTTTAGGTTGGAACCGCAGGCAGGAAGATGAAATTCTAGTTAAAAGGCTATGATACAGAAGCACATGGTTTTGCAAGGTAAAGACTAGCAGCCCCCAGGAGCCTGGCTCTGATTACTAGCTCCCAGGTCTGCCTAGGGAGTGATGGCATGAGGGAAGAAGGGACCAGGAGGCAGGCAGGGACCTACGTGGGTGACATCGTGGAGTTTGTATGTAGTCTTCAGGGTGAGACCTCTGGGCTCACAGACTGCTGTGCACTGATGTCCATCTTAAGGATGTCTCACAGTTCTTAGTTCCTAGGGCAAGAGTCAGGGCTTACAGTATTTGTCTACCTTTAAGGTTAGGTGTACATACCCTCAGACAAGAGAATGACTGCAAGCCCAGTGGAAAGGACTGCCACACCGGTCCATATATACTCTTCCACACAGTGCTCTGCTCTGAAAGTGCTCATCTTCACGGTGGGCACAGCACCGCCTCCCCAGTCCCCGCCATTGCTTCGTGCCTAACACGCAGTAATGTTGCATGTTTTCTCACAGGTTGGAGTAAAATAAATTCATCTACATATAAATCATATTAATTTCAAAATGTGTTTTAAAGTGTAAATGCAATTTTAAAGAGACACTCTATTTTTTGAAGCTATAAAGGATATAGAGTTCTCAAAAGTCTTTGTGTTCAAATATAGCTATTAGATTAGCTGGTATGGGTATAGTCCATGAATAAAAGTCCTCTTTAAATCATATTACCTTTGAATTTTATAACACAAAGTTGATCTTTATGGATTTTCCCCAGACTTCACCTACTGACACCCGTTACTCCCATTGGCCTGTCCTGGGGACAGAGACTGTGCGACTGCTACTTCTCCCATTGACAGTGAACATGAGGTGGGAGATGCAGAGGAAGACACATCTTTAATAACTAAGTGTTATCATATAACACTTTCTAAACCTTTCCCAATTTCAGAGAGGACCCAGTGGTGGTTTCTACAATGCCTGCCTCAGTTATTTGTTACAAGGTGTCATTGGTTCCCACACCCAGTTTGAACTTTGTTGCTACATTGCTGCAGGTGTGGCCAAGGGCCTCTGATCTGGGAAGTTAATTAAAAGGCTGGATTGAATTTCTTTCAAAGTGGTGACCTCAGACTCTGTATATTATAGTAGGGAATATGTGTGCATGCATATGCATGCATATATCGGTAATTGTGTATGTAACATATGCACATATTATAGGGAAAAGGTAAATAGAAAATGACAGATCCTAAACAAAAGAAGTGAGGACAAGTATGAGAAGGGGAGGGAATGAAAATACATTAGGCTCCTCCTCTGAACTAGGCATCCAGGAAAGAAAGCAATGGGGGGAACAAAAGTGGGATGCAATTACCTGGGCATTAAAAAATAATCTTTATAAAAACCTCCCATCTGAAAGGAGCGTGCTGTAAGAATGGATGCTGATGGTCCATCTGGGGAGCGCTTGTCAAGCCTTTCAGAAGCGAACAGAAGGCTGTGGGGCCCTGCGGTGGCTCTGTCTTCCCTTGGCGCTGGGCTGCTGTCTCGCAGTGAGATGACTTATCTCTGAAGCTCTGCCGAGCAGTCTAGATAGCATGACTTAACACTGCAGGTCCCCGAATGGAGTTCAGCTTCCCAGAACACAAGTGCCCGGAGAACCAGACGAGGTCAGGGAAGACAGCCCAAGATATTTATTTCCCTTTAAACCCTAGAGAATTCTAACAGTCTTCCTAATTAAAAGGATTCTAGAAGACTATAGATTGTAAGATTTTAGGTATTAGTATCAATTTTTTTGTTCAACTTTAATTTTAACCAGAGGCACTTAAAATTTGTGAGGTTGCATCTTTGTGTTTCTGCTGATGGGCAGAGAAGTAGGTGAACTTGAAGAATTTCTGGGTAGGTGGGAGGGAGGGTCAGGCCCAGCTGAGCTTAGGATATGATAAAGAAAGCATTGAATATCTTTTAAAATTACTGTTTAAGAATTTCTGGTCAATTACAGTTTTTGCTTAGATGTCATTTTAGTTTTCTCCACTTCTGCTACCTCAATATCACATCAGATATCTTCAGCATCATTGGACTTATTATAGGATCCTCTCTACCTTCATTTGCAGTTTGGGATGGATTATAATCATTTGGCCGTATATTCCTGCTTCTTGCCGTATAACTTTGCAGCTCTCTCTGAACTGGACTTGCACCCTGGGGCTTGCTCTTCTGCCAATAGAAGAATGACAGACACACGGCACTGCCTGTGCTGCTCCAGCCAAGCCCACCCTAGGATAGAGCCCCAGAAACCCACAGACACACAGACAGGCCAGTGAGACAAGCAGAGCCCAGTTCCATTGTACTCAAAAGAGTCAAAACTGCCTTGGCTGGTGTGGCTCAGTTGGATGGGTATCATCCTACAAACCAAAAGGTTGCAGGTTTGATTCCCACTCAGGCCACATGCCTGCGTTGTGGGTTCAGTCCTCAGTCAGGGTGTGTGCAAGAGGCAACAGATCAATGTTTCTGTTTCACACTGATGTTTTTCTCCCTCCCTTCCCTTCTCTCTGGAATCAATTTAAAAAACAGAAAATAATTTTAAAAAGAGTTGAACCCTGCAGACATGTGAAAAATAAATGTTTATCATTGGATACCACTAGAATTGAATGGTTGTCTGTTGCAGAGAAAAAGTTCACTAATAAAAATACCATTTGGTTCATGCCCCTGTATGTCCGCCAGAGTGATGTTTCTAAAATGGAAATCCAGCTATCCTAAAATTAGTCTGTCAAAGACCCTTCAGTGACTTCCTGTTGTTGTTTGAATGGTGTCCTCCCAAAATTCCTATGTTGAAGTCCTACCCACCAGCATGTCAGAGTGCAACCTTACTTGAAAACAGGGTCATTGAAAATGTAAAATGTAATTACTTGAGTTAAAATGAGGTTGTACTGGAGTAGGGTAGACACTTAATCTAATATGAATGGTGTCCTTATAAAAGGGGACATTTGGAGACAGACATGCTCACAGGGAGATGCCATGTGAGCATAAAGGCAGATACCAGGATGATGTGTCTATAGGCCAAAGGGCACAGAAGACTCCCAGAAAACCACTAGATGCTAGGAGACAGACTAGAAGAGATTCTCCCTCACCGCCCTCAGAAGGAAACAATTCTACCAAAACTTGATCTTAGTCTTCCAGCTCCAGAACTGTGAGATGGTGAATTTTAAGCCACTCCCCATTACCTTAAGGATAAAGTCTAACCTCCTTCACAGGGTATGAGAGTTTTTCTTTTTTTTTTTCATTTTATTATTATAGTTGACAAACAATATTAATTTCAGATGTACAACAGAGTGAGCCGACATTTATATACCTTACACTGTGGTCACCACACTAAGTCTAGTAATCACCTCTCACCATGCAAACTCATCACAATGCTATTTCCTATGTCCTCCTTCACCTTTTTCTCCCACCTCCCCACCGCCTCTCCTCTGGCGACCATCGGTTTAATCTCTGTTTCTATTGTCTGTTTTTGTCTTGTGTGTTCATTTGTTTGACTTTTTAAATTCTAAATCTAAGTGAAATCATGCACTATTTGTCTTTCTCTGTCTGACTTATTTCACTTATTATCCTCTAGGTCCCTCCATGCTGCCACAAACAGCAAGATCCTATTTTTATTTTTTATTGCTGAGTCATACTCCATTGGAAGTTTTTCATAAGCTGGTCTCTGGCCACCCCTTTGGTTTCATCCGTCACGAATCCTGGTAGCTTCAGCCTTACCCCATTCTCTAGCCACACAGGACTATTTAAAGTGCCTCCATCAACTCCTTTAGAGCTTTTGTCTGTCCTGCAATTTTTTCCTCAAATGCCCTTCTTACTACCGTCCATTCCCCCACATAATTTACCTAATTATAAATTTACCTAATTTACCATAATTTACCTAATGGATTCCACATAATTTACCTAATTAACTTCTATTTGTATTTCAAGCTCCAGATCGGGCATCATTTCTGGAAACTTTCTCCTCACTTTCCCAATCCTAATGACTAGAGGATGCCTATTGAATACTCCCCAAACACCCTATGTAGATATTTCAATCATGGTTTATTACACATCTTTATCAACACACTTGATAATGGACCTCTTGAAGGTAGGGTCACGTGCTGCCTGTCTCTGTTCCTGCAACCTGGCACAGTGCTGGCCACAGAGGGGCTGTGCAGCGATGTTTGTGGAAGGGACCTGGAGTGTTCTTGTGCAAACATCTAAGCAGAAGTGTCTTCAGCCTTTGCAAGGTGTGTTCTCTTGTCTGACAACTGGCAATTGAGTTTACTTGGAAGCAAAAGCACCCAATTAAAAACTGAACATCACTTTCTTATTCTTCTTCATTTCTTTTTCTCTACAGAACTGCAGAGTCCCACATGCTTTATGATGCTTTTAGATGTAAGTGACTGTGAATTATTACCGGCTGTGGGCCTTTCATCTTCAAGATTGACAGTCTATAGTCCACATTTCTCAGGAGGGAGAGATTATTATAACTATATTTTTGCTTACCAAGAGAATTGTTAATGGTTATCCTGGAGGGGAAAAAATCTATAAATATCCAAACTTTAATGAAGCCTTAAGCTTACTTTCTTCCTTTACTAATGAAATTCTTTCTGAGTGCACTGCCAGAATTGCTACATAACCATTACACTGAAAAAAGACACAAAGCCGGTAGCGGATTTTTTTTTACCTGTTTGGTCCTCATTTTGGAATCCAACGACAGATTGTTGTAGGTATAATGTGCCTGTGTGACTCCACAGAAGAGAACAGCCACTATCCCTGAAATTCAAAAATATACCAGTTAAAACCAATTTTCTTTCTCATCTATGTCAAAGGGTAGGCCTATCCCAGCTAAGGGAAGATGAACTTTGTGTCAGTAGAGTTAAAACAGCTAGTAATTACTATGATAATGAAGTCAGGCAAACCTTGCTACTTGCTTTAAACATTGGCCTGACAAGATTAAACCTAAAGAAAAGTATTAAGAAGTAAATTCTTCTTGAGGATAAATGATTCCCCTGGTCACGAGTTAGGAAAGTCATACTTGAAAAAAACATAAACGAAAGACTGTATAGCCAACTCTGGGCTTCTCACAGTGCCAACTGCTTTGCTGCGTTTTATACAGAATGCTGGCACATTTGCCCAGATACTTTCTTTGCATTGGGTACTTTGAGGAATTTGAAGAAGTTCCCATCATAGCATAATTTAGTATTAAAAACTACGAGTCACAAACATAAGAAATCTATGATGGTTTTCTTGACCCTGCCAATGACCTTACTTGCCAAGCTGGAATGAGAGGCCCTTGTTTGTCCATATTACACCTCACTTTGAATGCAACATGAAGCTATGCACACACAAGATACTCCCTGGGGCCGGGGGGTGGGAGCCAGTGAAGGGGGTTGGAAGGGAACGTGGGGGGATAAATCTGTCTCTGAGCTGGGGTGGAGAAGTGGTTGGGACTGTAGTCTGCTTTGGATTAAATATTCTGTTGATTATGAGAAATTGAGCATAGAAGAGAGCTTTGAGAAAAACACAAGATGTAAGTATTCCTCAATTCAGACCAAGGGGATTTAGCTGAATTTTAAGCAGCAGAATCTTTTCAGCTAAAAACACTCAAATTAAATGTTGATGATTCTTGAGAGTATAGAGTTATGTGAGCTGAACACTGACATTTCCAATAAATCTGCAATAAAGAATTTTAAAGAACTAAGCATATTTTAATATGTAGACTTTATTCTTCTATTTATATATTGGTTATTTGGGGGATTGGCTTTGGATAAAATATTATTAAGACCTATCCAGCTGACACCACTGCCTAGACATTTATATTACTTACTTCTTTTTAATAGTATGTCTCAAAATTTTAGGCAAAAGATGAAAGCAACTAGAAAATTTTGCCAAGAAACATATATTCAGTATGCATTTCTACAGATTTTTGGGTACTATCCTAGTTTCTTAGCCTCTCTTCAAAAACTCTAAGGAAACAATGCTTATAAATGTTATATTTTAATCTTTACAGAATTTCTATGAAGAAACAGCCAATATCAGGGAAACTTTTAGAGTACTGAGGCTCTTCAAGAACTTCAAGGTACAAGGATGATTGCCATGCATGTTGTTTGCTATCAAATAGTTTTCTTTCTTTCTTTAAAAATGTAATTTATCTATCTCTGTTGATGCTTTCATCTGTTGGAGATGTTTCCAGATGAGGCTGATGTGACCGTCTCACTGTGGTGGAAACATTATGACTCTATGCTGATCTGGGGAGACCTCATGGATAAAAAGGGTGGGGGTGTGTGAGCAGTGCACAGATGTGTGCTGAGACTGAGAAGAAGTCACACAGATGCATTCCATTGGACAGGGAGAGGACTACCATATACTAACGCCCATGGTGGGCCAAGACTGCACTAGTTATAGTTACATCATTTTGTTTACTTCACTGATTTATTACCTCCAAACAAACTTAGTATGATTAGGTTAACCAGCTTCTCCCACTGTCTTTCCTTTCCCACTAATCGCTCCTCTATTCTTTCTGCTACTCAAGGCCAGAACTTGGGGGTCACTGTTTACTTTTCCTCTATTTATACATTAGCGATTTCATTGGCTTGACCTTTGAAACTTACCCTAAACCTAGCCATTTCTCAACACTTCCACCGCCAACCATATTTTATTAGCTACCATCATTTGTTGTCTGGATTATAGCAATAAACTCTTAATTGTCCCCCATTTCCCTTGTTGCTCCCCCATTACATACATATCTTCCATTCAGCAATAGTGATTCAGTTAAGACAATTTAGATCATGTCTAAACTGGCTCAAATTTTTGGAATGGATCTTTGGCTCAAAGTTTTGTAATGGATCCCATAGCTAAGAGACCCTGCAGGATTGGGCCCTGCCCCCTTCTCTCCTGTCCATGGGTGTCTGACCCATTCCTGTCATTCTCCCCCCTGTGCTGTTCTCTCCCCACTCAGGGTGTTCCACTGCAGCGCCCGTGCACTTCTGGTTCCCACCATGTGGAAACTCAGCTCCACATACTCACATAGTTCCCTTCTCCCCTTAAGGTGTGACATCCTCGGACAGGCCTTCTCTGTGAACTCTATAAAAATGACCGCTCTCATCATTCTCAACTTGCCTATCTCATTTTATTTTTCATTTCATATTATGTACTTCCATCTAACATTTGATATATTTATGTGTTTTTGCCTTCCTGCACTGCAATGAAAAGCCCATTGAGTGCAGTGGGATTCATTGGTCCCTAACCTTGGCAGCAATGCCAGGCACGTGGTAGGCACTCAGCTGTTATTTGAATAAATAAAAGACCACTGCTATCTCATGTAACAAGTAATAAACTCAAGTAATTTATTTAAGGTCACCTTGAAAGTGGCCAAACTGAGATTCAAAATTCCACAAACTCCCTGTACTATTCTGCCTGTATTAGACCATTTGTGAGTGTCTTAAGGTAATCTTAGATCATCTAAAAAATATCAATTTCTGATGTCCCCATGAAATAATCAGAGATTTGATGATGAGGATTGCATCTCTGAGCTAGCTGGGTATCTTGTTTGAGAATATTTTCCCTAGCAGCTCCATTGGTTTTCTTGTCTTGCTCCCAGTGGAACACTAACAGGCCATGTTTCTGCTGGGACTTTTGCATCTTGTATAAATATATCACACAAACAACTAACAATGAACGGAGTGCCTATGTGACCAGAGGCTTGATGTTGTAATTAACATAAAACAACTACATTGATCTGACTCTCTGTCTTAGCATACATAATCATAACTTTATACCTTGGTACTTATCTCACACAAAACACTATAATTAGTATGACTTTTATAAGCCACAACACATTTTGAAGATGTCTCATCTAAATACATCTATTACTTATAAATTTTCTGCCATCTAAACAGACTTAGAGTTGACAGTTTCTACCTTACAAAAGTGCATTTTAGCTGCCACTGTATTTTTACATGTTTATGACTGCTTATACTAGTGCCACTGGCATGTGGGGCTCTAGACAACTCTCTTACATGATCTGGATCTCAAGTCTCAGGCATACAAGTGAGGGGGAGGGACCAAATGCTTTTTGGGCCAATCAGCAAACTAGTGCCTCAGCTCCAAAGCTGCAACCCTGGGCCCCCTCTGGGACTCTGGGCTGGGGCCCCCCAGACCACACCCTTCTTTACCTAGGCCTGTTGGGCTCTGCCAGTGTGGAACCCCAATGGGAGTGGGAGGCAGACATGTGGGAGAAAAGGGTCTGCACCAGAGCTTGCCAGGTGACTTTAGTTCACTGACCACCTTCACAGGACCCTCTCAGAGAAAGCAGAAGCAGCTAGGCAGTGTTTTCAGAGGTCTGGGTCCCTGTTCAGTGGTTTCCTTTTAGGAGCTTGTAGATTGTCTTCCCTTTGCCCCTTCAGTGTCAGGGGTCACACACTTGCTTCTGTGAATACTACTTCTGTGTTGCTTCAGCATCTCTTGTTTACTTCAGCTCTCTGCCACATGCATCCCCAATTCCTGGCATTACATTCTGTGATTAGCCAGCCAGTTCTTTTCTTGATTGAATCTTGACCGGTCCTTTCCTGTGGGCCCCTTCTTATTCTAAACCTTGATGGTTCTCTGAAGCTATCGATGATTTGTTATCTGGAAATAAGACCCAACCTGTATCCCTCTGTTATAACTGGGACAATGGGAGATGCCAAATGCATCTGAGGTGCCATGCCAAGTTCCAGAGGAGTGTACTCAGTCTTATTTCAATACTACCTATGTTTGGAATTGGTATTTTTTAAAACTGACGTGAAGTCGAGCCACTAGATCGGAATAAGTGGCTTGGGGCTGAGAGTACATTAGGTCTAGAACTATTAAAGAAACATGACCCAGACTGTGATGTGTGTCTTCTGATCCCCAGTTGCATGATCTTTCCAAAATGTGAGTGCTGTCCCACAACAGAGTAGCTGACTTAAGGTGCGAGAAGTTCTCCATCATTTGAAATGTTTGGTTCAATGATCATCTATCAGACCTGGTATAGAAAAAATTCTTTTCTTAAAGTAGAGTTTGAATATACTCTAATTCTGTGGTCTGTTATTTTTCTATACACTATTTTATTAATTTACTAGGATTACTACCTCAATGTCTCTTTTTAAATCCAGGACAAGGAAATAATATTGGTTCTAAGTGAAATCTTTAAACATTTTTAATAGAGGCACCCCAACTTTCTCAAAAAGTAAAGACAAAGTAAACTTGTAGACTTTCAAATATTCTTTTAATTTTAGACAACTCTTTCTAAACTAAAAAATGTTAAAATATCATTACCACACCTTTTAGTCATAAAAATTTATTTTTTTTTCAAATCAGTTATGAGGTTTGAAGATAAACTCAATGTATTTTCAGGTGAAAGTACATTAAAAATGGTGAATTCTGATGTCCGTATCCAAGTGACTTTTCTCCTTCTCCTCCTTCTTCTTTCTTTTTCTTCTCTCTCCTTCTCTTTCTCCTTTTTCTTATTCTTCCTCTTCTTTTTCTTCTTCTTTCTTCTGCTGTTTCTTAACTCTTCATGTTTCTTGTCCACATTACGCTTAGGCTGTACTTAATTTAAAGCTGTCTTTCCTATACACTAGAAGCTACTTGATCTACCTGGAAGCTCAACTATGGCCCAAGAATCTGCATTAGGCAAGAGATATATCAGGACTATACCTAATGTCTCTGAAGTGTTAATGTATACCAAATCACCTGGGGATCTTGTTGAAATTCAGATTCTGCTTCAGTAGGATTGGAATAGAGCCCAAGAT